TACAGCATCACCCAATTTACTTCTTTTCTTTTCCATTTTCTCTAACTTTATTTTTAGGGTGAACCGTTGATTAGTTCTTAAAGTATTACTTGAATGAAAATTAGGTACTTAAATTATTTTTTTAAGAAAAATCAATCCTCAATCTAATAAAATTTGCCAATTACATCCCTAATATTAGATTCGAATTTATTTTATTCAATTTTTCATCAACTTAAGTCACATGACTTGCATATAATACACTTTAGAGAGTAGATTGGTAGTTTTTCATAATTTAATGACTTATTTCCTTAGAATAAATAGTGTATGAAATTAACTTTGAAGGTAAATTAGACTTTAGATTCGCAACATATATACAACATTAAGAGCTTATATGCAAGAAAATGGTAGCAATATCCTTTAAAATGTGACATGTGACTTAATTTGATGAAAAATTAGATAAAATAGCTTTGAATAGAATATTAAGGATGTAATTAGCAATTTTTAATGAATTCATAGACTTCTTTTACTAAAAAAAATAATTAAGAAACCTAATTTTCACTGAGAGGATAATTCAGGAACTAAATCAACCGTTCACCCTTATTTTTATTCTGATTTCAAGGACTATATCCTGCGAGTTCTCAATTTTTTCCACCTTTCTCAAATTAAGATTCTTAGCCACTTTTGTTCGACTCTTATTTTACTACTAGAGAAATGTTAAGCGAATTCTCTCAAAGTGTGACTCTTCATGAATTTTCTACTCTCCCATATTTTTTTTGCACAATATTTTACAATATTGATACAAAAATTAACGTTAAATTGTAAAAAAAAATCATCTCATCGTTTCTCTTACTATACTCGACTTTTTTAGGCCGATGGGACCACGATACATGACTTTTTTAAGCCGATGTCTCTGGGTACAATTTGGTTTCAATCACCAACTATAGTGAGACAAAATAATAATGAAACAGTGAGCATTGGCTGTCTATTTTTGTGTCATCGTCAGCTAGACGTAGAAGCTAAATTAAATGCTAACCAATCAGTTAAATATGTTTCTTACAAATCAGTCGCATTATCTTGGATATATTCGACAAAACTTTGATTTATCGCGATCATTCTTGTCCATATATACACGATTGTTTTTCTGTTCAAATCACTACCGGAATTTTTAGTAGCGGCATGGGTCAAATTGAAAGGTACACCATACATCATATAAGATCTTCGACATTTCTGCTGTTATCAATAGCAACAGATTTTGTAATACAATGAGGTTATAATGACATGTGATGACACATGGACGAATTCAGCATATGCATATGCATATATGAGGTAGTTGTCAACACTCAACTCTTTATGCGATGGAAAATTGCTCTAACCAAAAAGATAAACTTTTCTCTCACATTCAATATTATTCCTACCATCTCACCCTTCTTAGTCATGTTACTTTTTATTTAGCTAATGGTTTACAATTTTAGCATATTAAACACCAATCACTCAAAATCATATAGTTGAACAATAAGTTGATAACATTCTATCAAATTTCAATTTATTTCATCATTCAAGGTTGCCTCCACTAAAAAGTGTTTCTATCTCTGTCCATGGATGGACGCAACTAAACCACTTATAATAATAACTCGAGAATTTCAATTGAGAAATATCTTTCATTTATTTCATCTTGTTTTGTTCGCTCAATCAATTTCTTTACTAGTCTGAAATCAGCCTACATTGAAAAGTAGCCATTTGTATACAAAGTCGATAGTTTTTTAATAGGGAAATGCTAGGAATACCATGTTTTTACACCATGATAAGCCCATGTTTGGCATTGAGGTGCTTAAAAAAAAGCAGGGATGAAAAAAAGTTGGAGTAAAATTTGTGTTTGGTAACTTTGCTTATTTTCAAAGTCATTGTCATTTTAAGCTGAAAAGTGGCAAAATTCTGCTTCTCAAAACCAGCTTTTTTTTTTTTTTTAAGAGGCGGGTGAACAATAGAATTTTAATGAAACTTTCACAATCTCAAAAATACCCTCCTCCGTTTCTACTTCTTGCTAGGTTTGAAGATCGAATCATCCTACATACCAGTTCCAGATTCTCAAACTTCAAAAGATAAATAAATTAATCAAAAACATAAAAGTAGCAATTTTTGTTCCCGAAAAACCAAATTAGTAATTGTTACATCCAAGGAAAGGACCTGAAATCAACCAACTCATGGAGATCAAATTGGGCAAATTGATGAAATCGTCAGCACCCTGTTTCAACCTGACACGGCGATCCACGACCGTCGGAGCTGGCGATAGTGACCCAACTTCCATAACCGTCTCCAACGCCTCGTCGTCTCCAAGCATGCGCCTCCGCAACTCCAACTGGGTTTGTGAGATTAGATCCAAGCATGCACCTCCAACTGGGACTTCGTTAGAATGCGAATTGGGTTTGTGAGATTCAGATTCGTGGTGCAGCAACAAGCAATTTAGGCTTTATTTGATTTGAGCTTCGTTCAAGTTCGATGGCAGAGATTGTAGGTATGGCTTCGAACTAGAGGTTGCAAATTTGATGATCTGGGTTTGACTGTGTCTAATTCGATGTTGCAGCAGCAGCAGAGTGTGGGCTTTGTTGTTGGTTCGTGCTTTCGGATTTGGACGTAGATTGATGGACAAAAAAAAATCATTATGTTTTGGTGAAGTCGGTGAGGTTTTTAGGGAGAGTGGAGAGATGCAGGTTCATGGGGAACTCTCTGGGAGTTGGACTTTTTCAATGAGTGTGGTGGAAAGGGTTTTAATGGGGGAAAATATCTGAATTAATAATAATAAAATACTAATAAAAGGATTAAAAAATAACAAAATCTTGTTACGTAGCAAATACCCAATGGGAAAATGGCTCATAATCGTAGGGAAAAAGAGTATATTAAGATCAAGCAAGTATATTTAGTAATTCATTTTATTTGTTAAGAAAATTAAATTAATGACACATCTAGTGTTATACCCTTTTTGATCATTTTACACAGTCACACTTGTTTTACATAAAAGTTTACCAAACACTATAATACTGCTTTTTCTTCCAAAAGTACTTTTACAAAAAAGTTTACCAAACACTATGTTGCTTAATTTCACAGCTGCTTATTCTCAAACAACAAAAGCAGTTTTTTTTCAAAGCACAGTAATACGAAACCAGCCCTAAGTGATAAGAATTATCATCTAGATTATGTTCATTTGTGGTTCGTCTGCTACGCTCCTTCGTACCCTTTGCACTCTGTGAGGTTGCTTCAAAACTTATGCTTGTATAAAGGAAAAAAATATACATGCTTACGCCGTCTTGTCTACCAACTAGCAATTAATGTATTTACACTGGACAATTAAATTTTAACGAAACTAAAAATGAGGTATAGCATTTAACGGAAAAGTAAACGGCCAAGTAACGGAAGGTATAACATTGGACCAAATTCTAAAAATGAGGTATGACATTGTCAATTCTAAAAGATGAGGAATGAAAGTGTCGTGACACCAATAGTTAAGATAATTTTTTGTACTTTACCCAATTTTTTATTGTCCTAACCCAGCCAAAAGTCTGAATCATGTCTTGTCAGCTCCAATAGTGGCTCAAAATCACAATTTGGGCTAACTGGCTTATTGCTCTTATCAACTCCAATAGTGGCTCCAAATGCAATTAGGGATGAGTCATGTCTTATGTTGCTTTCTCATGTTGGCATATATGGAAAGTTAGATGTTGCTTTCTTTTCCAACAACAACCAATTAACCTGAGACAGGTGCTTGCGGCCATTTCCACCAATTCCTGTGCATTTGCGAAGGCTTCTCATGTTCCCGCTATGAATTTGGAGTCAAGTAGCCACGACACCCCTGCGACAGCGTGATGGTTTCCACCGTGCCCCTAGTTTGTCAAAAAATAATGTCAATGGCAGTTGGTTGGCTGCTACAAATACGTGGTTTTCTGGGGTTGTTGCACGGGACGTAAATGGTAGTTTCGTTGCAGCTCATAGATACCGTCTTTCTGTTCCTTGCATTGTGGCGGTTGAGGCATTAGCCATTCTTTATAGGTGTGAGTTGGGTATTTCCTTGGGTCTAAACTCAGTTGTCATTTAATATGATTCGTCGGAGTCAATTTCATGCCTTAAGGATACGCTAACAACTGGCAGTTGGGAGGCTTTTCCCACTCTAGTACAGAGCAAAAAACTAGGAGAATCATTTCAAGACTGTCGCTGGTCTTAGATCCCAAGATCAGCCAATATGGCGGCTAACCACCTGGCGTCACAAAGATGTTTAGAGATGTGTGACTTTATTTGGATTGATTGACCCCCATCTTCTCTTGTTTATATCCTAAACAATGATGGGTTACCTTGCCCTCCTTAGTTTATGTATTAGTAGTGTAAGGGGTGACGTGTTAGCTTTGGTAGCAGCATCGGGCTCTCTTTCATCCCCTTACACTGCTTAATTTTCATCCTCGTTATTTTGCTTGCCTCGCAATAGGCTTTTGTTTGTACTTTTGGCATCTTTGCCTTGGTAATGAAAATTTCTGGTTCACCAAACAAACAAACAAACAAAAAAAAAAAAAAAAAAAAAAAACTGATGACTTTGACTAACGCTAAAAATTATTTAAATTTGCTTTTAGAGAATGTAAAACAATAAAAGTATTTAAAATGCTAAAATAAACTAATAACTTTAACTAACACTAAAAATTTATAGTATTGAATTAAAAAAAAAAATCAATGTCATTACTATCATACACGTCTCTTAGTAAATTGTAGCATTTCACCATTCAATGCATTCACTCATGACTCGTGAAAGCTGCTTGTCAATTCCATGCAGAATTACAGGCTGGATTAGACATTTTTTAAGTCTAAAAATCAGTAGGCTACACCTCTTGCCAAATAAACACTCTGACATAGACATCTCTTCTTTGACTCTTAGTCTGAAGCTGATTGATTTTTAGCAGATTGAATGATTGTTTACATTGAAAACGAGCTTGCCAAAGGTGTTGATTAAGACAAAATATCAGAAGATTTCAAATCGAATGACACATCATAAATATGTATTTCTTCATTTTACTTGTTAAGTTGTTAGGACCCGCCAAAGTCCATAGCCCAAACATAAAGCCTGGATAAGAAACCCAAACAATAACCGGAAAATCGACGGTCCCGCCCAAATATTTGTTCACTCTCACTATTTAACCGCACAGAATCCGCCCTCACTCCATTTCTCCGGGAAACCGCTCTATTGAAAATTTGAACCTCTTCTTCCCAGAGAATCCCTAAACCAAAATTGCAAACCCTAATCGCCGCCGTCTGTGGCCTCTTCGTCATCGGGAAACCCCCGGTCCCAGAAGGGAAACTTCCGAAACTGGACCGAACTCCCTGACGAATCACGTCGTCCATACTCTCGCGGCTGGGAGCGATCGAGATTCTGGAGTCCGCTCATACGGTGTGCATGAAATGGCTCACAGTGTTCAAGGACCCGCTGATGTGGCGCACTATCGACATGCGCAATGATGGGGATTTCGACGATGAACTTCCTTACGACATGGAGAAGATGTGCCGCCACGCCGTTGATATGAGCCGCGGCGGTTTGGTCGATATCGATATCGAGTAGACGAGTACTTCGGCACCGATGATCTCCTCCGATATATCGCTCTTAGGTAAACTGATTAAACTGAAAATATTACTTTTTAGAGTAACATGTATGAATCGTATCTTCATTTGCCCTGCCTCCTTTTAAATTGTTGTAATTTTGTCGATATTATTTTAGAAATTAATGTAAACATTTTGTTATCTGTGATTTGTTTCGGAATTATAAAACTATGTTGATCCTGTAAGGACCCTCGGATGTGGCACACTATGCTGATCCTGACCTGCCGTATAGCCTTGATAGGATGTGCCGCCATGCCGTAAATCTTAGTGCTGGCAATTTGGTCGATATCAATATTGAGTCATTTGGCGAATTTGAGCTCCTTCAGTATATCACAAATAGGTAATTTATTTATTTGTTTGTCTTATTTTTTAAGTTTGATTTGGGATTCTGTTTGGAAGATGTTATTGTCTGTAACTGTGGTTTCTTAGTTTATGTGACATTTTTTAGAGCAATATGAATCATATATTCTTTTTGTTTTGATAAGAAACCGAAATTTTTATCAAACAATTAGATGTTCTATGATTTATTCCACTTCCCTTTTCCTGAGTTCAGAGGTATAAATCTGAGCTGAAATGGTATGATCCACCAGACGTCTTCTGAACTTATAAAAATTGATAAGTTGGAGGGTTATCTAATCGAGCCTGTAGTCTGGTAAGGTTTCGGGGTTTATAGAAGTATAGTCTTCTGTATTCTCTTTTAACCTCTGGCCCCATTTTGGTTCGATGCTTCAACGGTTTTGAAGGGGGTATAATTGACTGCGAAGAAAGGCGTTGTGGATTATGTTCTTGGTGAACTTTTATCGACTCCCAAATTATGCATGTTCGTTCAATGAATAATTATGGTGATGTTTAGCTTCTTTTGGTGTATTTTTTTTTCCTTAATGTAACGGCTAACACATTCATCTAAATTCTTTCAACAGTTCGAGTAAAATCAGAAGGCTCCGAATTGTGTGTTGCTATGGCATTTGCGATGAGGGATTGTCTGAAGTTGTTTCAAAATTTCCAATGTTGGAGGACATTGACTTAACATTATGCAAAAATATTACGCATAGGTCTCTGAAACTGAATGGGCGCTCTTGCCCTCTTTTGAAATCATTGAAAGTGAACAATGAGTGGCACAAGTACCCAGACGACTGGTTCAATGATGATAGTGATGATGAATTCTCTTTGAATAGAGATGAGGATGCAATTGCTGCAGCTCAAACGATGCCTGGTGTGCGCCACCTCCAGCTGTTTGGGAATCAGATAACTAATGAGCGCTTGAAGAAGATTCTAGATGGTTGTCCTCATCTCGAGTCACTTGATCTGCGGCATTGTTTCAATCTTGATCTCGGGGGAGATTTGGGAAGAATATGCGCTGAACGAATTAAAAAGCTGCTGCTTCCTAATGAATTTAGCCCTTCAATTGATTGGCGTAATCAACAATTAAGTCGTCGTGAAACCCCTGTACGACAATGGTGGGATCCGTACGGAAATTATGATAGTAGTGATTGATTGGTTTGTATGGTGATCAACTGATCATGAGGGACCTGAATTGGGAGTGATGTGTGTGGCCTGATCATTTTTCTTCCAAAGTTTCTGTGAAGCTTCATCCATCGTAGTGGTTCGGAACTTCATGACGGTTCTATTTCTTGGTTTGTAGTAACATTATTCTCCTTAGATTCTCAAGAGCTGAAAAATTTCGGTAGTTTCTTCTTATGCTTTGCAGTTTGCAGTTTGCTGGCTGCATTTTATTTATCAGAGAAGGGTTAACATTTTAGCTTTTCAACGTCCTGTTTACCTATGTACTATCGCCATGAAAGGCTTAATGTCTACTTACCTAATCTTAGTGTTTGTTGTCTATCTGTTTATGTAACTACAGTCGTGTGAGAAGAGAAATAAGCACAAAGGGATGGTACCCAGTTGTCTAAAAGTATTGTATTAAAGAAGATAAACAGTGTATCATGGTCGAGTTTTGACAACAAACTCGTCAATAATTGTATCTTGTGTAAGGACCAACAAATATCTAGTCTTTGATTAAGGGTCTTTGTTCGATGGTTGTCTATTAGAAGAGCGCTCAAGGGCGATCTTCAACGAAAGCACTCAGGAGAGTCTTTCATAGAGCACTCTGGAGAGACGATCGTCCGTATAGAGTTTTAATTGGCAGTGGTCGGTAGAGTACTCTAGAGAGGTCATCCGTATAGCACTCTAGAGAGGTGGTCTTCTAGAGAAGGGGTCTCTTCCATCTAGTGGTGATTTAGTTCTCGGTGGATGAGTCTTCTCTCAAGATGGTGACATGGCAAGAGTGGGATCGGGACTTGCATGGGCTTAAAAAAGGGTGGACTACTTCCCATATGGTTAATTGTTTTATGGTGGAACCTCAACTTTTTTCATAGTATTAGACACAGGTCATCCCATGTGTGAAGCCAAACGGCCACACGCGCTCCACGTTATCTCGTTGGGTTGTTCACATGTTAGGCTTAAAATTTCACCACACGTGAGGAGATGTGTTGAGAATGAATCACACATTGATGAGAGAATAGACCTTACATGAGCTTATAAGAGGTTGGGCTAGTCTCCATATTGTCAATTGATTTTATAATGGAACCTCAACTATTTTCATCGGGTCTGACATGGATCTTCGTTAACAACTTCATATTCCAAAGCAACAGCCAATCATACGGTTTGGTTCAAGTGTGTGATTGTGGCTTCTATGCAACTCCCCGGGAGCAAGTCTCACATTTCCCACATTATCAATTTAATGGAGGATCATACGATTACATAGATAAAAGGCATAAATTAATACTATTGTAAAACCTTCTTGGTGCAAATTGGTAAGAGTAAATGGTAGTAATGGTTTTTCAATTTTAACCCAATTGAAGCAATGGTCTATCAACTAAAAATTCATTACTATTGATCATTCAACTTATCAAAACATGCAATTATTATGGTCATTTTCGTCAACTCTGTTAAAACTTATGTCAAAATGAATCACATGGCATGCACGTGAGACTAAATTAAGGGGCAAATACGAAGAATCATATAAGAAATATTGTATCAATAGTCTCTCAATTTTAATTCAACTGGAGAAATAGTACATCAACTTTAACCCATTATAGTAATGATTCTTCCAACATAATTCATTTTAACAAAATTCTGACTGAGTTGACGAAAATGACCGTAATTACATGTTTCGATGAGTTAAGGGACAAATGGTAATGGATTTTTAGTCCAATTTGATTAAATCTGAGAGACCATTGCTACATTTTACTCAATTGATAAAATAGAACTTCGTTATCCATTTTGAAAATCAACTAAAACTTAGAGGTGTAAATGCATGTAGTTTAAGACATGAAGGGAAATCTGCACGAAAAGAAGGAAGGAAAGGAAATAAGGGGGAAAGAAAAACTTCTCACCGCAGAATTTGAATCAAACGGTCAAGATAACTTGGTCAGCAAAATCCAAATGACAAATATGGGGAGAGGATATGAACCCCGGAATGGAGGGACATTTGGGAAGAAATGTGCTTAAACAAGGTAAAAAGCTGTGACGAATGTTACTTTTATATACTTAGACACAAATTTATAAATTTAAGCAACATGAGTTTGGTTAAAGTACAAAATTACGTTACTAGTGATTTTCACACAGAAACAAGAGGAGAAGTTCAAACTGGTAAAATCGTAGTGTGATAATCGACGCCTATTTTTTTTAGTTAAGGAGGTGAGTATTCAAGTTTTAAATTCCTTCTAATTAAGTTTCTAAATTAAAAGAACTAAGTTGGTTAGTTTAAGAAAATTATATTTTCATTTACGATTCAAATTTAAAAAAAAGAGCGTTCCCAAACCAAGCCAAACAAAGAAAGTTTTATGTTTTACTATAATCGAAGAAAACGTCTATTGCACACAATCTTACTTTTATTTTTGTCGGATTTTGGAGTTCTATAACCGTTTAACGTAAAAGAACTCAAACAATCCATTTGAACCACTTTTGATTACGTATAAATTATGTTTGGAAATTATATTTGTATTTCACACTTGAATAAGATTACAATATGAGTATATATACTAGTTGTGAGCCAAAGCAAATCACAACACTTTCTAACTAAGAGAAAACAAACCTATAACAAATTAACAGTTTTCCTTAGTCACTAAGTATTATCCCTTGAAGATGAATTTACAATATTATCCTTAATATCCCCCCTCAAACGAAACTGGAGAGGTTGAAGTGGAAGTTTGGCACGGAGGAACAGAAATCTGGGCTTGGACAAAGACTTAGTACAGATATCAGCGACTTGGTCCTGGGAGCATATGAAATGAAGAGAGACCTGCTGAGCCAGAACCTGTTCACGGATATAATGATAGTCTATCTCGACATGCTTAGTGCGAGCATGGAAAACAGGATTTTTAGCAAGAGACAAGGCAGAGATATTGTCACACCAGAGTTGAGGAGAACAAGGTAAACAATATCCAATATCAGTAAGCAGTTTCCAAATCCAAGTAATTTCAGAGGCAGTATTAGCAAGGGAACGATACTCAGCCTCGGTGGAAGAATGAGCAACAGTGAGTTGCTTCTGAGCACTCCAACTAATGAGAGAGTTGCCCAGATAGATGCAATAACCTCCAGTAGAGCGCCTGTCTAACGAACAATCGGCCCAGTCAGCATCGGAGAAGGCCGTGAGAGAGAGAGGAGAGGAGGATTTAGTAAACCATAGGCCAAGATCAAGACTACCCTTAAGATATCGAAGAATGCGCTTGACAGCTTGAAAATGAGACACTCGTGGAAGTTGCATGAACTGACAGACAAGATTGACAGCAAAACTAAGATCAGGCCGTGTCCAGGTTAAGTATTGGAGAGCACCTACCAAGGATCGATACTCGGTAACATTGTCAAGAGGAGGAGAGTCATGATCAAGTTTGGAGGTACTAAGGGGTGTAGCACAGGGCTTGGCACCAACCATGTTTGCTTTAGTAAGCAAATCAAGAATGTATTTAGTTTGAGATAAGAAAATACCAGTAGAGGAACGTTTGACCTCAATGCCAAGAAAGTAGTGTAAAGCGCCAAGGTCCTTGATGGGAAACATATCACTGAGTTTGTGAATCACAGCTTGACAGGCAGCAGAGGAAGGACCAGTAACCAAAATATCATCCACATAAACCAGGATGAAGATTAAGGCAGGATCCGTTTTGACAAAGAGAGAGTGATCACTTTGAGAACCAACAAAACCAAGTGAATTAAGAGCAGCATGCAGTTTATCATACTAGGCTCGAGGAGCCTGTTTCAGACCATATAAGGATTTATGGAGTTGATAGACAAAATTCGGTTTAGAGTGATCCTGAAAACCAGGAGGTTGCTGCATAAAGACTGATTCAGAAAGAGTACCATGCAAGAAGGCGTTGCTGACATCAAGTTGATTCAAGAACCAGTCAAATTGAACAGCTAAAGTAAGGAGAAGACGAATGGTCACAGGTTTAGCCACAGGGCTAAAACTCTCAGTGTAATCAAGACCTTCTTGTTGATGAAAGCCCTTGGCAACCCGCCTGGCTTTATAACGATCAATAGATCCATCAGGCTTCCGTTTAATCCGAAAGACCCATTTACAACCCACTAGGTTTTGAGACGGATGAGAAGGAACCAAATACCAGGTTCGAGTGTGTAAGAGAGCAGTAAATTCCTCCTGCATTGCAGTGCGCCAATGGTGATGTTTGGAAGCTTGAAGATAAGTGGTGGGAAGATAATCTGGTAACAGCTGTGAGGGAAGGGGATGTTTAGTGGCAGTAAGAGCCCGAGGCCTGTATATACCAGACTTTGAGCGGGTTTGCATAGGATGAGTGGGCAACAGTGGGGAGGAAGAGGCAGGGGGTGAGGAAGAGACAGGTTGAGGAGGGTGATTAGAAAGAACAGGTTGAGGAGAAGGGACAGGTTGAGGAGAAGAAGGAGGGATTGAGGTAAAAGTAAGAGAGGATGGTATAGAAGAGGTGGAGAGGGTAGAGGGAGGGTGGGAAGAGAGAGGAGGAGTAGGAAGAGTATGGAATGGAAATTGAACCTCATCAAAGACCACATGCCGAGAGATGTACAGTCTCCCTGAAACAGGATCAAGACATTTGTAACCTTTATGGTGAAGACTGTACCCCAGGAAAACACAATGCTTGCTCTTAGCATCCAGCTTGGAAGAAGTATAAGGCTTCAACCATGGGAAACATAAGCAGCTAAAGACTCGCAGTGTACTATAACTAGGAGCCTTCTGGAAAAGAGACTCCCAAGGAGAAGGGAGAGATAGAGTAGGCAACCAATTTATGAGATAAATGGCAGTGGCAAACGCATCAACCCAATATATATGAAGGACTTGAGAGGCTGCCAAGAGAGTCCTTGCAGTTTCCACAAGATGGCAATGTTTACGTTCTGCACATCCGTTTTGTTCAGGAGTGTGAGGACAGGACAACTGACGTTGAATGCCATGTTGAGCCAGGAAATTGGAAAATAGAGTGCTCAAGAATTCACCACCAGAATCAGATCTCAGAGCAATTATTTTAGTACACAGAACATTCTCAACCAATGACTTATATTGCATGAAACACGAGAGTACATCAGATTTATGTCGCAGAGGATAGAACCAACAATATCTAGTAAAGTCATCCACAAATATGACATAGAAACGGAAACCTTCCTTAGAAGCAATAGGAGAGGGGCCCCAAACATCCGTATGAATTAGTTCTAGGGGTTTCTTTGTAGTACTAGTAGTAGAGACAAAAGGCAACCGAGAACTTTTGCCTAATACACAAGATGAGCAAAGAGAAGTGCTCTTATTCTATAGCATAGAGATACTAGAGAGGGAAGCTAGCTTATTAAGAA